GCCTGTGCCCTGGGGTCTCCCACCCACAGCCAGCAGACCTCATGCTCTTGCCCAGGTGTCTTTCAACCCCTAGATCCCTCTGTCCCCACAGCATTGGCAGTTCAGCCACAACAAGAGAGAGAGAGAGAGAGAGAGAGAGAGAGAGAGAAGGAGCCTGGAGAACTTGGATCCCTGTGGGGGGAGGTTGTTGGCGATGATTTATTAGCCAGACAAGAATCAACAAACAAGTTTTAACATCTGTTCTCACCAAACCATCCCTCAGACAACAGCAGCATTGGACTGGGGCCCAGACTCAAAGGCCCAGAGGGCCAAGGAAATTAGACTCCAGGAGGAGAAACCAGGGCAGCAGGAGCCAGAGGGCCCTGGTAGCACACTACTTTGCTGTCTTAGAGGATCACCAAGCATCAAGCCACTGGATTTCTGGGGACTCTCAGCAGTCAGTGTGTGTGTCCCTAAGAGGAGGAGGCAGATTCCACATTTGCTCCTCTGAAGTCCAGGTTTTTGTTTTTTTTTTTTTTTTAATTGTGTGTGTGAGAGGGCAGACCTGTCAGGGGACAGGGCTAAGTCAGGATCCAGGAGAGGGACCCAGCACTCAGACCCCGACGTGGCAGAAGTCTGGAAAAGCAGCCAGGTTTCCTATCTGAGGAAGTCTCTGACGTTTCCTATGGAGAGAGTTAGAGGATAGGGGGTAAGGAATAGACCCTGAACAAGGAAGTCAGGAAACCTGTGTTTTAGTCCTTGACCTTGACCCAGTCACTATCCCTCTCTGGCTTTGCTTCCTTATCTGCACAGGAGGGAGCTGGACTTGATCAGTCAGGGCAGATGAAACACTGCTCCTCCTCCCTCCAGCATCAGTAGCAGACATCACTAATCAATCATGGTGCTCCTTTCTGCTGAGTTCAGGTATGACCTTAGCATCCTTTCCAATGCGGCTCGCTAGGCAGCCACGACCAACGGATTGGAGTTGGCATGCAAGATGACACCTCTTTGCCRTCTTTGCAATAGATGAAGGCTGAGGTTCTTTCCAGTTTTGATCACCTTTATATACCATCCACATTTCCTGAGAAGGACACCCAGCATGTGTGTGTGAAGGTCTCTGGACCTGATGTCCCAAGTTTTCCCCCAACCAGCTCAGACTTACCACCTATAGAGGAGGCCCAGCGGGGAGCCACGCCTGTCCTCAGTCCTGAAGCACCTGTCTAGAGAGGTTGTGGGGAAGGGTGTGCCTCCAGGGGAGTGGAGGCTGCTGAGGCAGGGGAGGGCCTTGTCCAGCCCCAGAATTCTCAGGGTGCCTCTGTGGACCACCTGGATTCTGCAGAGAGAAGGACAGTCCTAGGTCACAACCCTACTTTGCCTCTTAGGCCTAGATGCAGTCTCAAGGGCAAAGTCATCTGGGCTTAACAGACTTGCCCTCCAGAGGCAGAATCTAAAATCCTCTCATTCATTTAGCAAGCAGGATATGGAACACAGAAGGAAACAATTTGAGGGGCAAGGATTGGCAGTGTGGAGTTTGTGGGACACTGGAGAGTGAACCAGACCACAGAGAAGTTTGGATGGTGACATGGACTGGCGACATCAGCTCCTGGCAGGGGTGTGTGTGGGGATGTGGGTGTGGGCAGGCACAAGGGCTGAGGGGGAGTCTATGGCTCCAGCAGGGAGGGACGGTGAGCAAGGAGGGGGATGGAGACAGAGGGAGAGGGTGGTCCTGGCCAGTGGGTCTAACACATTATGTGACAATAGGTAACCTAGACAGGGACTTGAACTCATCAGTGAGAGGACGGCGTGGGAGGATGGAAGAAGGAGGCAGGAGTGTGTGTGCCCCTCCCCTGAGCACATCTGAGATGACACACAGGACTGGAGCGCTGACCCCGGAAGAGCAGAGGCGCTAGTTTGGGGCTGGGAAAAGGGGTCAGGCAGTCTGGACCTTTCTGTCCCTCCCCCTCGCGGGGGTAAAGACCTCACCCAGCACCCAGTCTGAATACCTTCTCCATCCTCCTCAAACTGTGGCGCGGGAAGTCCTTCTTGRACTCCTTCTCCCTGCACCCTCATTTACCTGGCCTCCTGGGACAGGYCTGGATAGGCACTTGCGGAGGACGCGATGCCCAGCGGACGCCGTCGCTGACAGACCTTCCACCTCGGCATAGATGTTGCTGGGGGCCTCCCCAGGGCTGCCCCGGCCCATGGCGTAGAAGGCGATGGGTTCCTCGGGCTCTTGGTAGATGGGGTGGGTGGGTTTGGGGGGTGGGACTGGGCGGGGTCGCGGGGCGGGGCTCGTGTAGAGTTCCGGGGGCAGTTGAGGTTTGGCGGGGACGGGAGGCTTGGTCCTGGGCGGTTGAGTGGGCTAGGAGGGAAGACGAGGCCAGGGAGGAAGGTCAGTGGGCGCAGCTGCCACCAGCCGGGCTCTCCTACCCTCTAGGCCCCTCCTCCTCCTCCCAGTGGCTCCACCCCTCTCCTACTGGCTCCTCCCTGTGGCTCCACCCCACCTTCTGGCCCCTCCCCATGGCTCCACCCTCTCCTGCTGGCTCCTCCCCATGGCTCCACCCCTCTCCTGCTGGCTCCTCCCTGTGGCTCCACCCCTCCTCCTGGCCCCTCCCATGGCTCCACCCTCTCCTGCTGGCTCCTCCCCATGGCTCCACCCCTCTCCTGCTGGCTCCTCCCCGTGGCTCCACCCCTCTCCTGCTGGCCCCTCCCCATGGCTCACCCCTCTCCTACTGGCTCCTCCCTGTGGCTCCACCCTCTCCTACTGGCTCCTCCCTGTGGCTCCACCCCTCCTCCTGGCCCCTCCCATGGCTCCACCCTCTCCTGCTGGCTCCTCCCCGTGTCTCCACCCCTCTCCTGCTGGCTCCGCCCTCTCTCTCAGGCCTCGCTGTCTCCTGCTGGTCCTGTGGCTCAGAGCGGTACCTCCTTGGGCTCCCAGGCCCCCTCTTTGTGCGGTAGGGCTGGAGCCTGSCCCTGTTTCATGTCTGGGTTGTGCTGGGGGCTTGGGTTCTGACTGTGGCTTCCAGAGTCTGACTCTTCAGTCCTGAGGGACAGCCCTGCAGGCTCAGGAGTCTGCTGGGAAAGAAGCAGGGCTGAGGGACTTGATGTGGGAGGGGACAGGTGCCAGTGGGCAGGTGATTCAGGAGGACCAAGCAATCTGGTCCAAGAGGAGGACAGGGGAAGGAAGAGACATAGAAATTTGGCCTGGGCTGGGTTCTCTGGGTGAGGAAGAGGGGATGGACATGGCAAGGAGGCTAGGGGTCAGATGGAGGGGGACAAACTCTGGTCATAGGCTGTGTACACATCAAACTTAATTTCATCTGGAACACAGGACCAGGCCAATCTTCATTTGCGCCTGTGGTTGTCAAATACAAGAATGTGAAGTCTTGGTTTTGTGGTACTGGGTTTTCATTTTGAGACAGGGTCTCACTAAATTGCTTGGGGCCTCACTAAGTTGCTGAGGCTGGTCTTGAACTGTCAATCCTCTTTCTTCAGTCTCCGGAGAGACTGGGATTACAGGCAAGCACTACCATGCCTGGCCCCAGCTCTTTTTTAGTTTTTTATTTTGAAACAGGTTTTGCTAAGTTGTCCACATTGGCCTTGACCTTGTGATTCTCCTGCTTCAGCCTCCCCAGTCGCTGGGATTACTGGCACACACTACTGTGCCTGGCATGGCTTTAGAAAAGTCTTTAGCTTCAAAATTATCAGGATGGGAATGGATCTCCATGACAGCTGTGTCTGTGTTTAATTTCTGCATGTGCAAGAAGCTTAATTTATGGAGATATAAGCTAAATTTTTAGGGGCAGAGACTGCCTGAAGAGTGATGAGCCTCACAGTGGGAAGGTCACGTCCCATGGTAGGTGCTTTTAGCTCAGCATTAACCCTAGCTTCATGAATGTTCTCCGCGTGCCCTCTGCTCCTGGTAAGCTAAAGCCACAGGGACTTTCTTGTGCTCCTACAATCCACTGTGGTCTTCCTGGATCCAAATCATAATCCTCTTTCTCCTTGTCCTCACGCTCTCCTCTCTTGGAATTCTTTCATAAATAAAAGTGGCAACACAGGGGCTGGGGTTGTGGCTCAGTGGTAGAGCGCTCACCTAGCATGTGCGAGGCSCTGGGTTTGATTCTCAGCACCACATAAAAATAAATAAAATAAAGGTATTGTGTCCAACTACAACTAAAAAAAAAAATTAGAAAAAAGTGGCAATGCTACTTTGCTGCCCAAATAGCACCTTAGGGTCAGCCTCAATACCCACTGTCCCCCCACATCAAATCCAATACCCGTCTGCCTTGTCCACTGCCTACGTATCTTTCTCATCTGCCCACTCATCTCAAGCCTGCAGCCACCACCCTTATTAGGGCTTCTTCATCYTTCCCTGCCTCCTCTTGCCCTCCCAACCTGTTCTGGTCTCCTTACCCAAATTCCCTAACAACCTGCAGGGTTGCCTGTTGCCCAGGATAAACCAAACTCCTGAGAGCTTCAGTGGCAAGACCCTGTGTGACCTTGGCTTAGACCYGAGTCCCCGACAGCATGCCTTTAGCTTTCTCAGCTCCATCCAGCTTCCCTTCTCCCCGAGACTTTCCTATATCCTGCTATAGCTGCTTGAGAATCTTGGGGTTCTCCCCTGCCTATTCCTCTCAAAGGCACTGAACCAAATCAAACTCCATGAAACTTCCTGTTGGTCACCAATGACTTCCTTTGGTAAATCCAGTGGTCAATTTATGTATTCTTTCTCTTCCTCTCTCCCTTTCAGTACTAGAGATTGAACCCCGGGGTGCTCTACCAATGAGCTACATCTCCAGCCCTTTTTATTTTTTGAGGCAGGGTCTTGTTAAGTTGCTGAAGCTGGACTTGAACTTGAAATCTTCCCATGTCAGCCTCCCAAACGGTTGGGATTATAGGCACGCACCACTGTGTATGGTGTTGGGTTTTCTTCTTGATGCTTACTTACTGTTACTGGACATAATCAAATACTATTTTTTTTGTGGGGGGGGGTACTGAGAATATAACTCAGCGGCATTTAACTCCTGAGACGCATCCCCAGCCCTGTTTATTTTTTATTTTGAGACACGGCCTTGCTAAGTTGCTGAGGCTGGCCTTGAACTTTCAATCTTCATGCCTCAGCCTCCCCAGCCGCTGGGATTACCACCATGCCTGGCACTGTACACTATTTGTTATTTCTATTATTTACTTGCTGTCTGTCTCCTTGTACTAGAATGTAACCCTCTTGAGGCTGTGATATTTTGGTCAGTGTTGTTCACTTCTGTCCCCCCAGTGCCCAGAAGGATGTCGGGCACACAGTGGTCTCTCAAAACAGACTGAACCTTTTAAGAGAGGCAATCCCTGGCTCTGCACCTGTTAGGTGAAATGACACTCCCATATTCTCCTGGCACCACAATCTCCATACTGGATCCCTATCACTTGTCTGTCTTTCCTGCTGAAAAGTAAGGTTTGCAAGTGTAAAACTCGCCTGTCTTGTCCATGAATCCTATTCCCAGGGCCTTCCAGTACCTGGTAGGTAGCTTTAGGTACTGAGTAAATGTCTCTTAACTTAAAAAACAAAAGGACTGGGCTGGGGAGGTGGTGCATGCCTGTAATCCCAGTAGCTCAGGAGGCTGAGGCAGGAGGATGACCAGTTGAGGGGTAGCCTGGGCAAAGTCAGCAGGCCCTGTCTCAAAAAAAAGGGGGACGGGGAAGGGGAGGATGGGGATGTAGCTTAGTGGTAAAGGGCCCCTGGGTTCAATCCCCAGTAAAGAAAAAAAGAAAAAGACCGTGTGCCTGGGGGCCTCTGCCTGGGGGGCTGTTGGGGTCTCCCAAGGGCTCCCTCCTCCCCCCAGCACTCATTTTTCTGGAAGATGTGGGCGAGGACGTCAGGAATGGGTCGTGTGTCGGGCTGAGAAAGTGCCTGGTGCTGGGGTATGGGCCTGGACTCGGGTGAACAGGGGCTGGCCCGAGTCCCCCCGGGCTCCGGGCGTACCTGGCGGGCGAGCGGCCTGGTGAGCGTCTCCCCGTAGGGGCTGAGTGGACAYTCGGTGTAGTGCTGCAGCAGGTCCTGCAGCTGCGCGTGGGCGCTGTCCTCGCCCAGCACCACGTGGCGCCCGTCCCTGAGCTGGGCCAGCAGGAAGTGGCGGCAGCAAGTCCGGCTCCTGGAGGGCGTCAATCAGGATCAGATTCGCCATTGCCTCTCCCTGGCCAGGGCCACCAGCCGCGACCCCTACCTCCCAGCTCCAGGGTCTCTGCCCTGAGCCATCAGAGGGCGGAGCGGGAGCCCCGTGGGGAGAGGCTGAGTCAGCCCAGTCCCGCCAGGTGATTAGCCCGAAGCCCCGCCCTCACCTGTAGGTCAGCACGAAGGTCACGGCGCTCTCGCTGAACCGCACCAAGTAGCATCCCTGAGGCTGGGGCCCCAGCAACCTCTCGGCCTCCCTGAGGGTGATGCAGAGAAGTGGCGGGACCTGGGCCTGACCCTCCTGGCCTCTCTCTGCCCCCGTGATTCTCGTGGGGATGGATCCCCACCCCCCAAGCAAGCATGCGGGAGGCTCGCAGAGCGGGAGGGTGGGCATGCAGAGGGAGGACGGGTCGCCGCTCTTCCACTTGGGGGGGGGGCTGGGTGTGGCCAGGGGCAAGGCTCCGGACACCCTGCATCCTACCAGGGCAGCAGCTGCAGTAACAGGGATGGTAATTAGACTTCTAGAGCTCAGAGATCACTGGCTGAGAAATGGAGGGAGCTCTGCAAGGGGAGGAGGAGTGTGGCAGGAGAGAGCCAGAGAGAGAGATGGGGGGAGGGAGAGAAGCAGAAAATCTGAGGACTAGAGATCAGAGACGGTAGGTTAAGGCAACCTAGAGGAGAAAGAGGCACACAGAGCCTGAGCCTGCCTCTCCAGTGGTCTCCCTCCGGAGAGAGGTTTCAGTGAAAGGAAACTTTAGGAGTTGGAGTCTGGAGTCAGCCTCAATCAACTCTTTCTTTTTTCTTTCCCTGAGGCATTGGGGATTGAACCTAGAGGTGCTCTACCACTGAGCTTCATCCCCAGTCCTTTGAAGTTGCCCAGTTGGCTTTAGCTTGTGATCCTCCTGCTTCAGCCTCCTCAGGAGCTGGGATTATTGGCCTGTGCCTCCACACTGACTGACTGCAGGACCTGGGACCTGCCGCTGCTGCTCTCTGGGGTGACTCACCTCCGGGTGATGAAGCCATGGAACCAGGCTGGTGCTGTCCCCTGCTGCAGGAGCCAGTGGGCCTGGGTCTTCTGGAACCAAGCAAGGATCTCTGCCTGCAGGGACAGGCCATCTTCCCCGGGCACCTCTTCGGCCTTCTCAGTATTCCCTGGGACAGAAGCAGTCTCTGGGGTCCAGGGAGATGCCTGGAGAGAAGAGTCCAGGGAGGTGATTAGGGGGCTTCTCCCACCTGATTCCACACCAACCACTACCTATTTTAGGGTAGAATTGACCAGAAAGTCCTTCCCAAGGTCACAGCTTAAATCGCTTCTTCAGCTCCAGCTGTTTGGTTTCCAGAGACCCTCCTCCCCCTTCCCCTGGGTCCTGCCTTTAATCCAGCCGCAGTGAGCTGTTAAATAGGGGGGAGAGAGGCAGCCAGGCAACTTCATGTCTGGGTGGTGAGAAGGGCTGAGGTGGGGGCGGGGATGCACTGAGCAGAGGAAGGCACCCGATGAGGGGTCTCTTCTGGGACTCTGTGCACTGTAACCTGGTGGCCTGCCTGTGGGCCCAGCCTGAGCTTCCCAGGGGCAGAGGAGCAGCGAGGGGTGAGCAGGCAACTCAGCCAGGAAGGAGGGACTGCCCATCTCCTTGCCCCATTGGGGGCTCCCGCCCCGTTGGCAGCCCTCTGATCATTCGTCCCTGCCCACTCTCGGGGCAACCTTTGCCAGGTGCACATCCTCACCCTTGGGAGGTGGGAGGCGGTGAGAGGGTCCTCTCCACCCCCTACATTCCCACTCACCGCCGCGTGGACAGCCAGCGTCCCCGAGCTGGGCGGGGGCTCCTCGGCCTTCAAGGCCTGCGGTCGGGGCTCCTGGAGCAAGCCCGAGCTCGGGCATCTCTGGCGGGTCAAGTCCATGGTCTGGAAAGTGCTGAAGGTTGGGGCAGGGACTTCATAACTCCCTGTTGGCACAAAGAAGGCTGCTGGGTTCCTCAGAAAGGAGCCGCCTCTATCCCCTTCCACCCAGGCTTAGAGTGACTCCAAGGCCTCTGGCCAGGGACCTGTACCACAGGACAGCACTGTCATGACAAGAGAAATGCAAGAGGGACAGCAGCAGGGATCCTCGGGTCGGGAATAAGCTGCCAAGGTGTCGCAGAGGGGCTGGTGCAGCCAGAGGGCAAGTGGGGTGCCAGGAAGGAGAGGCTGGGAATGAGGCCTGGGGGTCTCACGGAGAGGAGGGCTCCAGGCCAGGCCCCTCTCGGGACCAGGAGCCTCTGCCTGCCACCCCATCCTCCCAGTGTCTCCTTTCTCCTAAGAAGCCTCAGCCCACTGTGACACCTTTGTCCTCTGGGCTTGAGTAGACAGGGACCCCAGAGGGAGCAGGAGTGGCGGGCACTTGGCCAGTCAGCCTGCCAGTTGTGGCTTGGTGTGGGCCCCTCACCCCGGAGGTGGGAGCTCAGACCCAGGGCAGCAGCAGTGGTGGGGGTCTTGGTGTCCCCTCCCACCCACACTCTGAAACTTCACACCTACCTGGGAGGCCTATCTGGGCCAGGGGCATCTCCATGGGAGCAGGGCCCCAGAGCAGGGCGTGTGCCTGTGCTCCCAACAGGTATGCACACTCAGCAGCTCCCCTCTTACCCAGCCCCCAGGGACAGGAAGTGTCGCTTCACCCACAGCCTGAGCCCCAGCAGAGTCCCCACGTCATGGAAAGCCGAAAGATCATTGTCCCACCCCGGAAGCCAGGCAGTTGAAGGTGTTGTGGTGGTGAGTATTTATGTCATTCGGTGTTTAGGTGTTGGGAGGTCCTTCCTGCTATTTGACCTTCATCCATTCTGATTCTTTCTCTGCTCCTTTACCTCCAAATAAGATCTCTAAGGTGCTCAGAACTGCTCAGAGATTCACACTCAAGATTATGCTTTGAGGAGATATGAGAAGGGAGAGGATGGTGGCAACAGGAAGGATGTTAGTCAGACTTCTGGAGGAACTTTCTGAGGTCATATGAAATCTGTGAGACAAGGATTTAGGGCTTCCATCCTTGAGCAGATAATGGAGGTGAATTAGAGCAAAACCAGGCGATCTTGGAGGAAGGAAGGAGAATTCCTACAAGTAGGTCACTATTAATATCAACAATATTTGCAGTTGTCATCAATAATATCTGTGCTGAAGTTTCTAGTCTCAAGCCTTGGTTCAAGGGGTCCTCCTGCCTCAGCCTCCAGAGCAGCTGGAACCACAAGCATGTACCACCTGCCCACAGCGTTATCATCTTATTTCCCAAAGCCTGAAAGTGCAGCTCAGTAGCAGGTCAATTAACCCTGGGTTCAATCCCCAGCACTGGAAAGGGAGAAAGGTAGAAAGATTTCCTTTCCTAAGCATGAAAACTCTGGATTCAAAATCTGAGGTGTAAAACCCAGTGTGGTAGCGAATGTTTGTAATCCCAGTGGTTTAGGAGGTCGGGGCAGGAGGATCATAGGTTCTAGACCCGCCTGGGAAACTTAGTGAAAACTTGTCTCAAAAGAAAACATAATAGATCTGGGTGTGGTGACACATGCCTGCGATCCCAGCAACCTGGGAGGCTGAAGTAGGAGTATTGAAAATTCAAGGCCAACCTCAGCAACTTAATGGGAACCTAAGCAACTTAATGAGACTCTTTCTCAAAATAAAAAGTAAAAAGGTCTGGGATATAATAGAGCAGTGGTTAAGCACCCCTGGGTTCAATCCCAGTATTAAAAATCAAATAGAATCAGGGCTGGGGTTGTGGCTCAGAGGTCGATTGCTTGCCTAGCATGTGCGAGGTCCTGGGTTCGATCCTTAGCACCACATAAAAATAAACAAATAAAATAAGGGTATTATGTCCAACTGCAACTAGAAAAAAATGTTAAAAAATAAATAAAATAAAATCATAATAGTAATAAAAAGGGCTGAGGATATAGCTCAGTGCTAGGTACTGCATTCAATCCCCTGTACAAGATGATGATGATATTAGTGCTGATGTCTTAGACTTTCAATACCTCCTGCCAGAGCAGGACACCAATCCCATTTTTCACCCATTTGATTTTTTTTTTTTTAATATTTATTTTTTAGTTCTCGGCGGACACAACATCTTTGTTGGTATGTGGTGCTGAGGATCGAACCCGGGCCGCACGCATGCCAGGCGAGCGTGCTACCGCTTGAGCCACATCCCCAGCCCCCACCCATTTGATTTTTAAAAAACATTTGTGTTTTAGTTATAGTTGAACACAATATCTTTATTTTATTTATCTGTGTGGTGCTGAGTATCAAACCCAGGGCAGTGATTTTGGAGCATCCCTTTTGGGTATAACCAATTAAGAGATTCTAGCTGGGACTGAGGTTGTGGCTCAAGTGCTGGGTCTAGAAACTACGCTTTCTCTAACTAACTCCACTATGATTTAGGCCAAAGGTTCACACACTGTTCTTGGGGTCAACAACCCAGAGAGGAAAAAGGACTTTGTCTCAAGACATCAGGTGGGGGAGATGGACAGACACCTATTAAAAGGTGTGGCAAACGGAGCTAGTTGTGGTGGTGCACACCTGTAATCCCGGCTTGGGAGGCTGAGGGAGGAGGATTGAGAGTTCAAACCCAGCCTTAGCCACTGAGCAAGGCCCTAAGCAACTCAGCGAGACGCTGTCTCTAAATAAAATATGAAAAGGGCTGGGGGTGTGGCTTGGTGGTGAAGTGTCTCTGGATTCAATCCCTGATAACACCCCCCCAAAAAAGTTGTGGCAAATTAATGATGTGGGTTTATGCTAGAGGAGGCCCCCTTCAGAGGCCCCTGATTTAGCCTGGGCTGTGTGTGCGAGCACATGCACATTACACACGTATGTAGGGGGTTGGGATGTCAGAAGAGGAAATGGTGCTGAGTGGTGGAGAATCAGTCCAGTTGAAGAGTGGGGACAGATGATTCTGGAAGAGGCGCCAAGCTCAGAGTGAGGAGAGAGAGAGAAGGGAAAGTACCCCATATAGGCCAATGGGAAGGGTCTTGCCTGGCATGTTCAAGGCCCAGCACCACACACACACACACACACACACACACACACACACACACGCTGCAGAACCTTGAGCTGCAAAGAGCAGTAGTTAGGTGTGTGACAGGCACTTTCACTTGGTAAAGATGATTTTTCTCAGAGGGCAAAGTGCAATCACACCTCCCAGTAGTCCACAGAAAGGAGAAAGGGGGCGGAGTTTATCTGCTGAGTTCCTTTCTGCTCTCCTCTCCCGTTGGTCAAGGTTATCTCATAGGAACCGACCTCGGAGGCTCTGTCCTCCGMGTTTCTAAGCATCCACTCAGGAAACCAGATCCCATCGCCCATGAAGTGGTGTTTGTATTGATCAGAAGTGGAGGGGTGACTCAGAGATGGGCTCAACCCGTGGGCTGTGAAAACCATACCTTCTGAAGAATTCAACTTGGACTCCATTCAGGTTTAGCTATAAAAAAAGAAGTGGGGGCCAGACATGGTGGTGCACCCCCTATAATCCCAGCAGCTCAGGAGGCTGAGACAGGAGGATCTTGAGTTCAAAGCCTCAGCAAAAGTGGGACACTAAGCAACTCAGTGAGACCCTGTCTCTAAATAAAATACAAAATAGGGCTGTGGATGTGGCTCAGTGGTCGAGTACGCCTGAGTTCAATCCCTGGTACCCCTGCCCCCCCAAAAAACAGGAGTGAGACTCTAATAAAGGTGACAGTGATTTTGGAGCATCCCTTTTGGATATAACCAATTAAGAGATTCTAGCTGGGACTGAGGTTGTGGCTCAAGTGGTAGAGTGCTCGCCTAAGACTCATGAGGTAYTGGGTTTGATCCTCAGCACCACATAAAAATAAAATGAAGATATTGTGTCCACCTAAAGCTAAAAAATAAATATATATATTTTTTTAAATAAAGAGATTCTATCTGGGTGTGGTGGGGGCACACCTGTAATCCCAGTTACTTGGGAGGCTGAGGCAGGATAATTGCAAGTTTGAGGTCAGCCTAGGCGATTTACAAAGACCCTGTCTCAAAAATAAAAAACACCAAGGGCTGAAGATGTAGAGGATATAGCTCAGTGGTAGGGCTCCCCTGGGCTCAATCCCTGATCCTGCAAAACAAAACAAACAAAAAAGATCCTAAGGGGAATATACAAATGTTGTATTCAACAAGGGCCTACCTTGAACCCTCTCATTCTCTCCAGTTCCCATGCCACAGTATTAGGCTTAAATTTGTTCTGTACAAAGACATTACTAATTTTTTTTTTTTTTTGTATCAGGGTAGCCCTTTTATATACTTTATTTAGAGACAGGGTCTCACTGAATTGCTTAGGGCTTCACCAAGTTGCTGAGACTGGCTTTGAACTCGGGACCCTCCTGCCTCAGCTTCCCGAGTCATAGGATCACAGGCACGCGCCACCATACTCAGCTCTAATTCTCCCCAAGAAGGGAGCTGTATTACCCAGTTAGTCACGGGTTTCCTTCAAGATGATGGATGGCCAAGTGTTTTTCTCAAAGATTAAGGCAAAAAGATTAGTGGGATAAAAACCTAATCCTCATAGTTGTAACTGGGCCAGAAGCACTAATTGATATTCATCTTTTCCTTTCTCCACCTACATTCTAGACACCCCCCACCTCTAGTTAGCACTTCATCTGGACTGGAAGACAATCCAGGTAGGTTGATCCAGACCTTCATTTCCAAAAGGTGTAAACCCTACATCTCCAATCCTTTTTTTTTTTTTAAAGAAAGAGAGAGAGAATTTTTTAATATTTATTTTTTAGTTTTCGGTGGACACTTATCTTTATTTTATTTTTAAGAGGTGCTGAGGATAGAACCCAGGCGAGCGTGCTACCGCTTGAGCCACATCCCCAGCCCTCCTTTTTTTGTTTTGAGGCAGGGTCTCACCATGCCCTGCCCTGTTGATTGTTGTAGCTACCCATTACCAACCATCTCCAGACGTGACAGTACTGACAGATGCCCAGAGAGTCCCTGGGTACAAGATGGTTTCCTCCCAAGGTCCTGACCAATGACTGGTCATTTTCCATGGGACTATTTCCCAATAGTCCCATGGACTATAGGGAGTGAATATCTTTATTCCAGATGGTCACTCCCTACAGCACACTATGCTCATAACTAGTGGGATTTCCCTTTATCACTGTCCTTCAGGGACACATTGACTGGGGCCACGCTGCTTCTGGTGCGAGGCACATCACTCAGGTGGTGAGTTCCCCACCCGGGACAACCTGAGTGTTGACTGAAGAAGAAGCAGGAGTGCAGTTCAGGCAGGTGGCCTGAGCCACCTGCTCATGTAGTCGATATCTGCATTCTGGACCAGCTCAACCCAGTCCAAAGGGCCATTTCCATCACATACTGGTGACTGCTTTTCAGCTCCAACATAGGACTCAAGTGGCTCTTACCACACTTGGCTTAGGATGGGTAGCTTCCGTTGAATGGCCACTTGGTGCTCACTGGTCAGGCATTCAGTCTCTGTTAGGGCAAAACAGGAGCTGTTTTTGAGAGCGTGGTTCTTTGTCAGAGAGAACATGACTTTGTTCCAGAATCCTAGGGTAGGACTGCAGTTCT